ATTCTATTCTATGGTAATGAATGGTTTCAAATAGTACATTTTTCCTATAAATCATATAGCACATAGCAGTGTCTTATTTCTTAATAAAAATCTCATGGTTGATACATTCAAACATTAAATAATATAAAACAAAAATAAATATATTTTAGCTATGGTGTAAATGCCACTGGATTGTAACTTGATGGTAAAGTTGTAATAAAATAGTGTGATGAATTTTAATTTTAGGGTGTACGTCACTGGATCTGATATACCATTGTGTTGACCTGACTATAATGGGAAACTGGTCCCTGAGGGTGACACCGCTAACAACAACAAACACTCCAATCCTCTTATTAGTGTTTAATGAAAGCAAACAGACCTCTCATTAGGAGTCACGGGGAGACATAATCGCCCTGACTGTGCATGTTTGTGTCACCTGCTGAGTGCTCTGGTCCTCCAGCGTTAGCTTGACTTCCAGTGATTGGCGTGCCTCCTGAAAAGCTGTCCTGTATTTCCTGTCTGCCATGTAGTATGACATTACTCCCACTGTGGCCGCACACAGGTACAGCATCACATCAGCTAGAAGCTACAGGGATAAAATACAGTTAACAGTAATAAAAAGTATTTGTTATTTTACTCATTTCTTCAGTGATCATTTATGAGTCATTTATATTAATTAATTTTAACCTTAACAATTAAAACTTTATTACATGAATTTACACTTTTCCCCCCAATTTGAGGCTCAGATGACTGATTTGAGCGAGGTACACACAGGACTACCAGCCTCTTGTTTACTGGAAAGCAGCACTAACTTGGCCTTATTTAAACTAAATCCTTATTTGGCCTGTGAATAAAAACAGAAATATGTTTATTTGTTAAATACGGAGAATCTACATAACCTATAATTTATGTTGATCGACAGTGGGCTCTAGCAGTCTATCCTTATTCGTTCAAACTTGACTGAAGAAAGGCTTATTTTATGCTTATGGTCCCCTTATGCCCAGAGCTATTTAGAACCTAAAAGTATGCCTACCTATACTTCTGTTTACCTGTCTGACCAGCAGAGGCCCCTGCAAGTTCTCGTTGAACCTCTGGGCCACAGTGACCCCCTGCACGAGCACGTGCACCCCACAGGAGACCGCGCTGAGCAGGATTAGCGGCACGAGCTTCAGTGGCAGCGTCAGGAAGGTGGAGAAGGTGAAGAAGGCCTGCCATCCCACCGAGTTACTGGCGTGAGGGGCTGGCTCATAGTTTAGCCCCAAGTAACACAAAACGTGCACACTTATCATAAGCCACAGGACGTATGGCACTGCTCCGCGTAGAACAGGTGATGAGGGAAGTTTTTGAAAGTAACACAAAACGTACAAAACTATGTCTGCGGCTAAACCCGCCGCTGCTACGACTATCATCGCCACTTTATCCTGCGTATAAACTACAGCGCACATGATGATGATGAAGCTGTTGAAAAGGGCGGCAAACATGACCATCACCAACAGACTCTTTTGTCTCTGCCGGCGGAAATAGCTTTGGTAAAGTCTCTCCAGTGAGTCGGGCGTAAAGGTGAGACGCACGGCGCGCGGTACGCAGTGGCAGCACCGGGTCTCAGACACAGTGACCCCTCCCGTCCGAACCCGGCCACGTGGATCGGTATCCCCAGAAATCTGGACGGAATACTCCGCAGAGAACTCCACCGACTGTCCCCTGTGTACCGTTTGGACGCGGTCTACTGCCATTGCGTTTTTTTTTCAAATATGTAATCCGCAGGTAGGCTAATACTGCTTTACAACACTTTAAAAAAGAAAAGTTCAGTTCCACGTGCGCTCCATTTTCAAAATAACTTGACAAAAATGTGCAACATGTCATTCACAAAAGCAACCTAAGAAATTCACTTGATTTTATACATCTTTCCGGAAAATGATGAAAAAATTTAAGCAAGTGTTGTGGGTCATCTTCAAGACTGTCTTTCCAAGCCTCCAAAACCTTTATCCAAAATTGTGGATCCATACCTGCTGCCTTATCAAGCAATAACCCTAACTGAAGTACCTGTTAAAATATTTACATAGGTCTGATCATCATGAATCTCTCCTGTCTTCTGATGTTATGGCTCTCCTCTCCTCCCACTCATCCCCCAGTCTGCCTCTGCTCTGTTACTGTTGCTAAGATGAAACCAAAGTAACTGCCACCTTGCACTCACATCTTGGGAAAAGAGGCAATATGACTCTTGAGGAGGTGAGAGGAGGAACACTTACCACTCTTAACAGCCACTTGTGCAAAAGAAAACAAATTTTATTGAGCAAAGCTTTGTACAGCAATTGGAGAAAAAAAAAAACATATTGTTTTCACACTTAATCCCTGCAAAATCACACTGATGTTTACTTATTTAAATTAATTTTAAGTTATTGGACCTATGCACAGTAGGCTTTTAATACAGTGTGCTTTTCCTGAACATTTACAGAATATTAAATGGCAATGCTTGCAGAAACATGTTCTTATGGAGCTTGTAACAATTAATGCAAACAGACCAGAGTATAACAATCACAGAGATAAATTACTTTTTTTCCCTAAGGTATAGTGACTGTTGTATTTTCACAAACCACCACTAGATGCTATCTACAGTTGCAGTGCCAACTTTGGCTTAAGCCAGAGACCACAGGTGAGCCTGAACAAAGAGCAGGTGAGTGGGGAACAGGATTCACATCTGGTAAATTAAAATAAAATAAACTCATGGATGGTAGTTTTAAAGCACAAACATATTATAATTTAAGTACATAGGTCTACTGAGAATTACAGTTTTAACTACCAATACAGATAGGCACATTTAATTTTCTCATACAGAATCAACAACACAAAACTATAAGACACACAGACACAGTCATTGTGTGTTTACCCTTTCTGCAGGCGCAGGTAGTGTTCTCCCTAACATACCTGACAGAGTGCTTCCCAAAGCCAATGCTAAGGCCAGTAACACCCCCACAGTCCCGAGCTTCCCCAGAGCAGCTGTTCCTAACACAGCCACTCCCAGTGCCCCAGCTCCGATCGGTGCTGCTGCTGCGGTGATTGTTTCCATGCCAATCTCTTTAACCAGCTCCGGCCCTGTGAGAAGTCCCCGGCGGAGTTGCATTCTGGTGTTGAACGGGCTTTTTGGTGCTCCAAGGACATATGACCCCATTGAAACAAAGATGGCTGTAGTGAGTTCCGACGTCCCCATTAGAGAAGAACTTGAGACTTTACTAGCTGCAATCACTCCAACAGCAACTGAAGAAATAGTTGTTAAAAATGTGAATCTTGAATTATACACTTCTTTGGCTGCGACACTTGCAGCCGAAAGTGATACCGCTGCAACTACAGTGATTCCCAATATCCCCCCGGTGCTGGCTCTTGCCCCTAAACTTGGCACATTGTTCCAGATGACTCTTAGTGCAATTGCTGACAAAACAGAAGTCCCAATTGCAATGTTTCCAGCCATCTCTGTTCCCACATCAACCATGGCCACTGTCCCCAGGCCTGCTCCTAATATGCCAGCCGACAGGAAAGCCACCCAAAGGACAGACTCGATCATAATTACCATTTCTGCTTCTGAGTTATTCTCCAGCTCACCTGCTCCTAACCCCACACCAAACCCAAGCATTCCCACTACGACTGAATAAAAAAATACTCGCTCCAGTAGTTTGCATTCAGTCACGCATTTGGGTCTGGGCGCAATTCGTTCGGTCAGAGCTTTCCGAAGAGCACATAGGAAAGAGATGGTTACTCCAGTTAGAAAAAGTCCAAGCAAAACACCCATTCTTCCATAGTAGACACTAACATATAGGGTGACAAAGATTATGGACAGTGCTTGTGTCAGTTGATTTATATTGGAGTAGAAGAACACTGCAACTACTAAAATCAATTGAACTATGATGTACACCCCCAGTGGAAGTAGACCCCATAATACCCCTGTAGTAGCAGCTCCTAATATTAAAGAAACTGATGTTGCCATTGCAGTCAGCCATGGTATATCAGATCCGATATGTTTTAGTAGCTTCATCACCATGGCAGCAAGTAGAAAGCCACTTCCCAGAGAAATGAGCATTGAGGTGCAAACTAGACAGGCGGTTACGACCCCAACTCCAGTGGATCCTGCTCGACTGGCGGCCTGAACTGCAATAGGGAGCAGTGTAGGTTCTTCACTTAGCCATGGCTCCAGGGCAAATGAGGAGGCCTGTACAAAGGCAAATCCAGCAGCAGACCCTCTAAGAATGGCCCCCAGAAGAACAGAGACACCTAGAGGACATAATTGGAAAATAAAACTAAAGAAACTGAAATAGATAATTTTGGCAGTTTTAAATGATACAGTGCCATTCATGCATTGTAATAATATGTTTTTACATGTAATGAAGTAATGAATCTGCCGATAAGTGAGCGCTGACGGCTGTGTGCTTGTTTCAACACAGCGCTGTCACTTTAAGAGAAAATGAAAGTGGCTGAACGACTCCATTATGAAACTTAAGACTAAGAAGAACAATTTAACATTTAAAAAATAATAAATGTCCCATGGTCTAGTCCACAGTAGTACAGCATCTTATGAAAATACTGTAGACTTAATTCATGGTATCTGCTTCACATAGTAAGCCCAAGTTTGGGACAAAATGGTAAGTTGTCTCTTGTTACATTGCTGCAGCATGTTGAAAAGGATCTAACTCCATGCACTATTGGACATAGCCAGTGGCAGTTTAAGTCAAAGTTTGATGTTAGCACATAGGCCTAATTTTATAGGCAGTGTTTAGTACCTCTCAAAGGGCTAACCCTAATTCATTTTAAGAAACTTACCCACTGGTTCCTCCATTGTCCCACACTGCACCAGGTTTCTTGACTTCAGCTATAAGCCCCACCTTTTCCTGTTCAGAGATGAAATTAATAAAACATGTTAATTATAAACTACATAGTAAGGCATTATTGGGATTTGACCAGAAAGTAGCCTATGATAGTCGTTTACATGCCTTTTTCGACCATTTATTTTTGGAAGTTTACCTGCTATACTTGCACCTGCAGGGTATATGTAGGCTTTTAAAATAATAAGTTAAATTATCTGGAAGGAAAAAATGTTTAATTTTTTTTTAAGCCAATATTATCCTAGCTTGTCTGCCTTATAGGCTTAATGTATTATTATTCTATAAGTTATGCATGCATATGATTAAATAGTTCCAATGGAATTACTTATTTATATTTATTCTTCTCCAACTCAGCACTGTTTTTATTATAGATCCATGTTTTTAAAATAAAAAGTGTTCCGCGTCTGCAGTCAGCTGACTGTGACGTTGCGTCATGTGATTGTCGTTTCCGTTAAAACGGCGTACGGAGCGGTGTATGTTTATTTTTCGTTCCCCGTGATTCACCGTACGGTGCGGTGCGGAGAGGACACTTTGGACACTTCACCTGAGCGAATGTTGTAACACGTATTTAGTGAGTATGGCACAATCTAGCTGTTTATTTTCCTTTGTACAGTGAACCTCAGCACTGATGGAGTGTTCTGCCTGTTAAGAACATAAAGAACGTGTGAATTGTAGGCTCCTTTTCAAGTGTTTCAAAGTGTATTTATATACTTGTTGTATTTTATTTGATATATTAATTAGTGTACTCTAAAAGGCCTACAAAGACAATTTACTTTTCAATAATGTTTGGATTGTGAAGTGTTGTAAGGTAATGAATGTGCAGTGCAATCATGTGATATTTTTGTGGCGTGGAAGTCACCTAGCAGGTTGTAGATGTGGAGAGCCCTAACTCTGTATAGACGGGAATACAAATGTATGAGCAGTAGCTGCTTTAAATCCTGAGATTATTATGTTTTATTTTGTTTAAATAAGGGGAGGTCCCTTATTATCTTTCTACTTAGTGAGTGAACTTATTTATAGCAACTCAACACTTCACAGTGACAGTGAGTTTTGATAACATTTTATAATATCTACCCCTTAACAACAAAGACTGAATTCAGAAAGAATAGATTATTGAGAATGATTTCCTAACCATAATCTCCTGCTTTATTAAGGCTTATTAAGGTGCAATTTTTAGCAAGTAGTACTTGAAATGTTTGTCTTATGATTGCATGTACATGGAATTTTTTTCATCAAGTTACAGTAAACCTCCACAGGAAATAATCTAACCTACCTTTCTGATCACCCCCTTAGGAATGTATCAATCTGTGATATTTTTGGCATGGGCCCTGTGTGTATCAGCTCTTGACAATGGCCTAATGTCTACCCCACCCATGGGCTGGTTGGCATGGGAGCGATACCGCTGTGACATTGACTGCGAGAATGATCCTAAAAACTGTATCAGGTAAGACAACCTTAAAAATAGACAAAGAAAATTTAGTTTTCCTAATATGCTTTTGGTTTCAATTAGCTCTATCAACCAATTATTTACAGTAGACATATTTTTGGGTGCTTAGTATTAAACTACTATTCCATTTGCAGTTTTTACAATTTTGTTAATTTGAGAAAACATGTTTGATCTACAATTGCTTGATAATAGAGACAGGTCCATTGACTTCCTTTTCAAACTGCAGAACTGTCCCCCATTTCTTTGTAGTGGCATTTCACATTGAAAACAAGTGATTTTCATTTACATACTTTTATGTTGGAAAAAAGTCTTGATAACATTTTTGAATTTTGATCCATGTATGACCCAAAGTCAGAATTTTAAAAAAATAATTGCAAGTAAGAACAGAGCAGTGGGCAGAGATAGGGGGTAGGTGAAAACAGAAATTTGTTCTCAAATCTTCTCAAGTCTTGTATGCAAAGCAATACAGGATTGCTCAAACACACACAGTATAATAATGGTCATGAAGGTCAAATTTGCACAATATGTTCACTTTAAATGGTTTGTTAAATTATTTACTGTGACAATTTTGTGTTTTAGTGAGAAACTCTTTATGGATATGGCAGACAGACTCTCAGAGGATGGCTGGAGGGAACTGGGATATGTTTATGTCAACATTGATGATTGCTGGTCATCGATGCAGAGAGACAAAGATGGCCGACTTCAGCCTGACCCCAAAAGGTACAGAATCTTATTGTGCAAAAGTTAACGTGCTGATTTAGCTACCCACAAACGCTTAAGCAATAAAACTCAGCGTGACGGTCATGCTCATGGACTATGTTTGGTACAGGTTCACATGCACAATCAGCAGGAAGGGAAAGGAATTGCCATAAATGCAGAATTATGTTCATATATCCTGGGTCACATAAACCCAGTTAGTGGACTCTGGGAAAACAATTTCCATAACTTTTCTGTTAGATTAAGTTTATTGATTCTACATTGAAGAATGTTTCAGTGCAAAGGGTAAAGTGTAAGAATCAATGCAGATAAAATATTATACTTTTTTCCTCATCTGGAAAGTAGTTAAGCAAATTTGACAAAAATTAACATGTTGAGATACTCAGTTTGATACTTTTTGATCCTGAAATTGAAATTGTGTGAGAATTTTAGTTTTTTCAAACACTTGCATTCTTTTAACGCAAAAAAATATAGAAACATGCTGCATCCTTCATTCTTTAGATTTCCAGGGGGTATCAAAAAGTTGGCCCATTATTTGCACGACAGAGGCCTCAAGTTGGGAATCTACGGAGACATGGGCACTCACACCTGTGGAGGATATCCTGGGACCACACTTGACAAAATTGAAATAGATGCTAAAACATTTGCTGACTGGGAAGTAGACATGTTCAAATTTGATGGCTGCTATTCCAATGCTACTGAGCAGGAACAGGGTAATTATGTCTATATCTTTTTAGGGAGTAATTTGAGTTTTGTCTAACGTCTTTCTCTTTCTTACAGGCTATCCACTCATGTCTAAAGCACTAAATGCAACTGGCCGTCCCATTGGTTACTCCTGCAGTTGGCCAGCTTATCAGGGTGGTCTGCCTCCCAAGGTCAGCTCTTAAAGTGAAATATTCAACTGAATAGCCTGAATTGAAATGTTGTATCTTTTTTTGTTAGAGTGACCTGAATAATCAATTAAATAATCATCCTTAATCATCTCTATCTGTTTCAATAGATAACTGTCAATTTCAATCAATTTCAGGTGAACTACACACAATTGGGTGAGATCTGCAACTTGTGGCGTAACTACGGTGACATCCAGGACTCTTGGTCCAGTGTGGTGGCAATTGTGGACTGGTTCTTTGAAAACCAGGAAGTTTTAATACCCGCAGCAGGTCCTGGGAGGTGGAATGACCCTGATATGGTCTGATATTTTCTTAAGCATCAATCCCTATGTATAAAAACATGTTGAGGTGTTGAGTGATTTCTAAAAATGCTGACATTGTCCTTCACAGTTAATTATAGGAGATTTTGGCCTCAGTCTGGAGCAGTCTCGCTCTCAGATGGCTCTTTGGGCTATAATGGCTGCTCCTCTGTTTATGTCCAATGACCTGCGTACCCTCAGCAGTGGAGCCAGAGCCATCCTCCAAAACAAAATGATCATCAGCATCAACCAGGACCCACTGGGCATTCAGGGCCAACGCATTGTAAAGGTGTGTAACTTTCATTTGTAACATTTTATCTCAATCATTATTCTTATTATTGGATATTAACATTAGTGATTTATTGTTCTAGGAAAAGAGCGGCATCCAAATCTTCTGGCGTCCTCTCTCCAAAAACACCAGCGCTTTGTTATTTTTCAGCCGGCGAACTGACATGCCTTATCGTTACACGACATCACTCAGCAAACTCAATTACACTACAGGAAGTTACAAGGTTGGTCTCATTCAAATATAGTGCTAAGGTGCACTAGGTTAGATTACTGGCAGATGATACTTCTTGTCTCTATAGCAATTTTATTACTTTACTCAGAATATTCCACATTATGGCATCAAACATAACACCATAGAGCTAAGTTACATGTGTAAAGAGGCAACCCCGTTCAGAGAAAACAAGGCATGTTTTTCAAGGTTACATTTCAGGCAAATTAATAACATCTCAGTTCGCATGCCCTCCACTATGGAAGTCGGACAGTGTGTCTTTATTGCATTATGCTTTTTCATTGTGTATTGTCTTATCCTACAGGTCACTGATGTTTACACATACCAGACAACCGTGCTGAAGGACTCTGATGAGTTTGTGGTGTCTGTGAATCCCAGTGGTGTAGTCATGTGGTACATCTCTGCACCCTCAAAACTCAACTCCCGTCTCTACTTTAGACATGGCTATGCCCCAGCCTCCGCCCATGAGCATGTCAACAATGAAATACCATATGTACTTTAACATTTTAACTGCAGGAGATTTTAGCCCAGTATATGGTGTCAAAAACAAAATATTAAGCAATCACTGTTTTCTGAGAGAAATGTGAAACTTCTCCCACTTCTCTAATTTTATTCTTCAAAATTGTACAGCCAGCATTTTATCCAACTTTTGGGAACATGCATTTTACCTTACAGATTTTATATGTATAAATTTTATGGAAATTCTATTTGTATAAATTAAGTCTTTTGTTACTGTCTTTTAATAAATCAAATATTGTTGGGAAATTATTATTTTGAAGTTATTTTGTTATGCAAAGATGTGGAAGTTTGTTTTTAATTCCACCTAAAACTTTTTTCTGTTTCCTCAGCAGATTTCTGTTTGCATAAATTTCAAAACTATTCACATCACAAGTTCAAATAGATTTTTTGTGTGATCATAACCCATTTTATAACATAATCTAATTCATGTGCATTGCTAAGTTTCATCCAGTGTGGTCTATGGATGCAAAAAGCAGGGACCCTCTTTGGTGAACAGTGTGTTGCCTGATTGCCATTGTAAACTTTGTTATATAGTTATAATTTTAGTATAGCTGCAGTTGACTAAAGTAATTCTTGGTCGACTAAAGACATATTCTGCTGATTGTTTAGTTGACTGAAAATCTCAAATTATTATGTATCTATGTATCTGACTGAAACTGCACTCACAACAATACAACTGCAATTCATGCAAAAATGACTACTAGAATACTAGAAATACTAGAAAACAACATATTCTATAAATATCAATCATGAGTTTATGGTATAAATACCATAAACACCAAATCTCACTCACTGAGTAACTTCTCCTTTCTACTGTTTTCCCATATACATGCTTATAATCTAAATAAAATTATTAATTGTCTAATACAAATTTTAGTTGACTAAGACTCTATTGACCGATCAATGTCAAACCAACTGCAAAAACTTAATAGCACTATATGGAAGGAACCACTAGAGGTCAGCACTGCGCGTTTTTGCCTCCCTTTGTGTAGCCTTGTGCCAGCAAATGCACCTGCTGAAGATCACAAGGTCACCCGGTGCACTTTGCTATCTTTTGTTATGATTCACACCCCTCTGACATCACCTTTTACTTTCACACGCGTACAACTGTGTACATTTTAGCCTGTTTTGTCCTTGGCATTGCACTTCTCATTTGGAATAAAAAGTCATTGTATTCTCCTCTTGGATACATCTCCTCTGACCTTGGCCTGTGTGTGTCTGCAGTCAGATATGATCCCAGCCGTCACAAGCTTAGACTGGTGAAATGCACATTGATACAGAGACACTAATAAGTCTTTGAGGTTATTCCAGGCTAGGTCCAAATCCGAACCAGCGTGTGAAAGAGGATCTAAGCCTTCCCTTCATTTCTCTTTCAGTATTCTCAGGTGACATTCACGCCTGCCAAATCCACTGTCGAGGTCTCAGTCATTTGTTAACAAGATGTGGAGGAAGCCATAGTTAGACTATAGTTTCTGTTCAAAGTGGAAATACAAAAAAGAGACAAGAGTAGAGTATTGGAACAAGAAAGGGAGGGGTGCTGAGATGAGGCTGTGCGTTCCTGCCAATGCTCACGTAGGCTTCACAGCTGCAGAGGAAGGCTTGCAACGCTCCTCTTTGTATCCCCATTCCAAATGACCAGGAAAAGTCCTCATTCAGTCCTTCTCATCTGCTCTTACCCCCACTCCCCGCCCTCATGGTCACCGGGCAAGTCATGCTGTGTGCCTCAAGCCGATCAACCCCACATGTCCACTGGAAGGTTAACACTTATTTAAACAGGACATTTGATGGACAGCTGGCCTTATATGATATGCTTAATAATACCATACTTAAAGGTTATGGAGTCAGTTACATTCTATAATAGTGTAATACTAAGTTTCACCTCTAAAAAAACTGTGTGGAATGGGCTCAGACTGCCTAAAAGTGGCTAAAAATAGAATCGTTTGACTTTACCTCAGCCATAACAATATAATTTTTGTGGGTCAGAACTGGAAGGCAAGTTGTGTCATTAAGTTAACTTGGATTTGTGCATCTTACATGTTGCATACTTCACTGATAGAATAGCAGGATTATACTTTTCAAGATACTATAATAACCCCCAAAAGCAATTGGCTTCATATGGTTCTCCTCTTAGCTCCCCTCAGTCTGTCTATGACTAGAGATTGCCCATTGGGTGGTTGGCATAGGGCGATATTTTGTTTCTTTTACTATGAGCCTATAGAGCTTTTAAGATTTTCAGATTAGTGGTGACCGATATTAATGAAAATGAATGTCTTGATATTTTTTCTGTTAAAAATACAATATTATGCAGCATTTTTAAAATATTTTTTTAATATACATGATATTCAAATTCAGCATAAACTTCAAAACAACGTGATATTTTCCTCAGTATATTGTTAATTTGCCCACCTTATTTGAATGCTTTCATAAAGCTAAAAATGGCACCACATGTTTGTAGTGAATCCAGGATAGACATTATATTTTCTTTATAATATTATATTTTTCTTGTATGTAGTGCAGTGCACTTAATACATATAAGAAATCAACACTGACAATGAAAAAAAAAAACAGATCGTTCTATATCTATGACATGACTACCAAGTCTTGTGATTTCTTTGGATAATGATTCCCATTTGTGAATCAGTGCAAGGCTGCACATGTGTTTGACTGTGCTGATTGAAAATTGAAATGATCTGTTAGGAGTACTTTATCTTATTACTTGGTATCTGGTTTTCATAGTTTTGTAATTTCCTATAGTAATATCCCTTGCCTGTTCATTAAGAATTTTACTAGAAATCCTGCCTTTTGATAATAGTACTTGGATGTCTTTTCCTTTCAGCCCACTCATTCATTGGCAGTAGAGATTTCCAGTATGGGTTTAATTTTCAGCAAATGTGGAAAGTCTGGGAGGTATTACTTAACAACCACTTCTCGGTTGCTCTGCTCTGTGCTCTGCCTCTGCACCTGTGACGTCTTTCTCCTCCTCCTTTTACCCGCCCTTGCATTAGACACACTGACCTCCTGCCTGTGTCCCCAGTGCTCCAAAAGTCCATCCATCTGTTTGTATTAACCTATATGCGATTACATAAAGCTCCCGCTGTCTCTTATATACAGTGTGTTGTTGCAGCTGGAGTGAAGATGTGTCACTAAATTAACAACATATATGACAATATGTGTACACATTTAGCCTGTAGATAGTGACCTATAAGTGGAGAAATTAAAGCATCCTGCATATGGCTATTTAGTGTAGAACCAAGTCATGATGGCCTGGGCATGTTGGCATAATAATACATTTTATTTATTTTTTTTATTTTTTTAGCAATTTGAGCTAGCTTGACTGATGGATTCACCCTACCTACACAGTTGTCAGTTGTCAGTTTAAAGTCGTACTATTTAAAATGCTCTGACCCCCTTTTCAGCCTTTATTCGTCAAGCACACTCAAGTTCCTTTTGATTTTGTTCTTGCACAACATCAACTTTGAGGAAAAATGCTGCGCCTGGAATGCTTCCTAATAAAGTCCATGCAGTAAGAGGTGTCCTGACAAAGAGATAACCAAGGTTATTCACCTCATATGCAGGCATCATCTCATATTTGGCCCGTATCCAATCATTACTGCCTTGTCCTGTATTGTGTTGATCAGAATCACAATCAGCCCTATAGTTCCCAAGGGAAATTTATATTGTGCTGGAGTTGATGACTTTTTGGCATAATTTTAGTATTCAAAGAAGCTTAAAGAATAGTTTAAATATGGATTTTTTCTTCACGTTTTCATGAAAATCATCCTTATTTGTATGTTTCTTAATGAATGAATGTCCCAGCTCGTCCACCAGTGGCTGCTCTACTCCCAGTTACAGATCTGTTTCCACCCTCTGCTGTGTATGAGGCGAGCTGCACGTTTCTGAGGCATTTGGGTTCGCATGGCAACGGGCCAGCTGTCAGCTGCCTGCTTACTGGCAGTGTGTGGGTCAGGCATAGCCTCCGCCAGTACTGTGTGTTTCTGCGCAGTCAGACCAGTGCGCGCCGACAACACAGAAACTCCACCGTGATCTCATTCTTTCCTTTCTAGACCACATCTATCCAATTTACACTGATCCTCCTACTGCAGTTCTTAAAATGGGTACAGTGAGTGACCTCATGCAGCAGCAGTCATATTAACTATAAAAGATGTCCAAATGTTTACTGCCATAAATCAAACTACTATTATCAAAATGAAACAGAAATCCAAAGTGGAAAGATTGATTTGACACAGCATATAAAGTAGAATTCCCCTAATGCTTTTAAGCCCGTTATTAAGTTGTCACACAGTGATCACTGCCCTGAGATCAAAAGACAAGGAAGTGCAAACTGATCATCTATGCTCACTGTAAATAGTTATAAAAGCCAATGAAGTCAGATAATTCCTTCAGTGTGAACAGGTCATTACAAAGGAATCTGGTCTGGCAATTATGTTGAACCCATTCATTCATTCATGCCATTTATACCTTAAATTTAACCTTACCTCACATGGAATTTCTGAAGAAAATCTGTCCTACACTTCTAGTTTTGGTATATTTCATTGTTAGTAAATTTGTCAATCCACATTTAGGTGGTTCGAAATCCAGTTGCCAGTCCCAAACCTGGATAAATTAACAGTGTTATTTGGGAATAGCATCTGCTAACTCTTCTGCTGAATATAAATAATATTATGTTTATTTCATTTAGCACTGTATTGCACTCTGACGGTTTTGCCAAGCTGTGGGTTCTTTGTTTTGATCCTTTGTTTATTTTCAGGACAAAACTCGGACTTTTCTTCTACCACATGAGATCCATTTCTGCACAGTCACAACATTTGGCCCAAATCGCCTCCCAGGAAAAAGAGCAAATCAGGTGAATATCCACACAAGCTGCTTAGTAACACGATGCGTTTGATGTAATGTTGATAACGGGGCTATTTGTGGATAAAGCCTTATAATGAGATACTATAGGAAGCTAACAGATGGGATTAGCTTGCAAAAAAGTCATTGCGGGCGGTCGGTCGATGGATGAAAATAGATCAGTGGCCGGTCAACAATGCAACCTTCTCGAGCTGATTTTATTATAGCGCAGAGGCAGAGGCATGATGGAGCACTGTATGATTGCCATTCGCTCTACCACTCACTTTGCAGCGCACCACTTTCACCTGCCTGTCATTTAGCCAGTCATCTGAGTCTAGCACCAGACAACAGCTGAGACAAGAAGTGCTGATAGCTCTTGTTAGCAGGGCATACAG